GGGGTGATTAAGAGATTGGTCACTCGAGTTCATTGCGTTCTGCACTACAATGCGCCGGCCCAGTCTTCGGGCTCTGTCTCCGAGTTTTAGCGAAAGGAGGGATCCCCGTGTTATCCCATCCACCCAACTCCCCTGGTTTAGCACCGGCTGAATTTTTATTTGCTACATTAATATTTGCAATGAAAGGAATCAGATTCGATGCTGTTTCAAAGATCCAACAAACTGTGACAAACATCACCTACTAGGTACCTGTACATATAGAAACACGGCCCGGTAATAGTCATCACTAAATTCTATAATTATTAAGCCTTATTTACAAAGGATAAAAGAACGCTTAATGTGAAGGTCAAGTCCATCCATTTATTCCTAATATGACATTAAAGATTTTCACTGGAAGTTTTCGGTAAATTCCTATTTTCGGTTATCCCGCCGGATTAGGCATGACGTCATAAATACAATTTTATTGTATCATAAATAGTTAATCCGATTTTGTTTGTTATAGTCATTCTGTGAGATTTGTACAGGGTACAAATCGATCATTTTGTAGTCATACAATATTCGCCGACATATAAAGCCATATAAATGGATTTTCCCATAAATCCCATAAAGTATTTTATAGATATTATTGTAATCGATGTTTCGCATTATTATGCTCTTAAAACGCGATATTCGCTTGTTTCATCTGCTGTATTTTGTGTTTCCATGAAATGCCGTTTACAAAACGCCACAAATAAGCCTAACACAGCGTAAGAAGGGTTGCCGGGAGGGGACCGTGTTACTGCATTGCATCATGGAGTACATTTTCCAATCAAGAGCTCGTCAATAAGGTTCAAAATCGGCATTGCACACAATAAGCATCATCATATACACTGAGAATACAGTACAGTACAGCAGACGTTGGCGTTCTAAGTTCTTAACAGCTTTTGGTGCTTTGAATCGTGGATTTATCTCTATTTCCTTTTCGCTTATATCATATTAATCTGAATATAGGAGAAAAAGTTTTTCAAATGCTTCATAGAAAAATTGGCCGCCTTATATTTGGGGTCCTTAAGATTTTCATGAAGAGTTCTATTAGCTAATTTTATCGGTATCTGTGAAAATACGTAGAATTATATTCAAGGTATTATGTATTTATTATTTCTTAATAGCACACTTTTTATGTATTTTCGCTGACACCCTCAGCACTAAATGACACATATTCACTTCATAGGCTGGCGACTAATTTCCTGAGCTATAACTTGTACTTTTCTCCAAATATAATTAAAATGATCAACTCACGGAGGATGATACGGCCAGGGCATATAGCACGCATGGGAAAGAGTAATGTATGCAGGATTTTGATCGAAAAACCAGGAGGAAAGAGACCACTAGGAACACCTGAACGTACGTCGGAGGATAATATTAAAATGGATCTTAGAGAATTAGGATGGGGTAGTATTGACTGGATTAGTCTAACTCAGGAAATGGACCAGTGTAGGGCTTCAGCGAACACGGAAATGAACGTTCGGGTTCCATTACAAGTTGAAAAATTCTTGAGTAGCTGAGCGACGGGCGACTTCTCAATGGAGTTAATTATGACAAGACATTATCGAAGTTTATATTATTGTGAGCTCTAGGCTAATTTCTCATTTTGCTATTGGAATTTGTCTATGATCTCTATTATTTTCTTATGGGCCCAAAATCTCCAAATTTTACAGGTGCTGGTGCTGCTGCTGCTGCTACTACTACTACTACTACTACTACTGTCACCATCACCATTACTAGCGTCGAACCATTCTCGACCAGGACACTTGTATGCTGACAGAGGATTTTGTAGTTTTACAGAGTCCTTCTAGGCAAATTCTGGGATAGTACTTCGATTGTCGTAACCGCTTCCTTCTAGACCTCTTCAAGTCATCAATCTTCCCACCATCCGAAGGCATATACTCTCGATACTAGAAGCGTCATTAAATAATGCAAGAAAGAAAGGCCATTAGTAGCCTCAGGGCCGCGATCGAACTCGAAGTGTGGTCTAAAATCGGTTTTTATAAATAGCTCTGTTTGAACGTACGGAATATATTTGAATAATCTACAGGGCTATGCATGTAGTCTCCCATTTTGGACGATATATGTATGTAATTCGGGATGCTCAGTATCTGTAGCTCTTTTCAATTCAGCCCGCCAGAATATTTCTATTGCTCACAGAAATCTAATTCCCAATCTTTTTCTCTCGCCGTATGCCCAGTGTGACTTGCCTGAAACCCGCATGGCCTCCACATCGAGCCTGTCACACTTCATACAGCCTTCTACATGTCTACCCTTCGTGTTGTATCACCATGAATTTACTGCTGAACCTCGCCATTGAATGGCTGACATACACGTACCTTCTTCGTTTCCGGGAGTTTGCACATTTGAATGAATCGAATTATTCTAAATTATTGTCGGGGTTTCCGTGTCCTGCAATTTTCACAACTTACGTGCCATAAAAGGCGCGAAGGTTGAAGTTGTTTAGAATTCTGCAGTATTGTTTCTATAAGTAATAAAACATTTTCATATTCCGTAAGCAGTTTTATTTTATTGTTAGCGGTTTGAAAATTATGCGCCACGGAAACTTAGACAATATTTAGAATAACGTTGTAGAAACATAGACCGGAAATCCGAGAATAATCTTGGTTTTTGTAATCCAAGGATTATAATTCGGCCTGTGAAGACTTAGTACGTGATTTGAAGATCTAGTCACAGTGAGACTGTTTTGATTCCGTTATCAGGAGACGACTAGCAAAGACTGAGAAACCTAGTGCGTGTGTAACGGTGAACTGCAAATTGTGTAAATCAGCACTGTATTAATTGCAAGTACGAGTGATTGTACAAGAAAGTGGTAATAAATCCAATCCAGAACACGGTATTATTAGTCACGAATACTCGAACACATGACATTATATGTAGAAATCTTTCCTTGTAACTAACTCCATGTAACAGGAGCCTTCCTGAAAATTATATTAACTTCTCAAGAACTGCCCTGCTTTTTCTCATGTTCATTCATTAACAAGTTCTCAAGAACACTCCAATGTATCCTATCCGAAGTCACATGAAGCCAGTCCATACCTTACCTGGCTTCCCATTTAAAGACTACAGGCCTATGTACAAGCTGATCGTAGCCTCCCAGAATTCAGTATCCTGCATAACAATCTTCAAGGAAACTGAACAGCATATAATTACTCATTATGCAGCACTATAAATTGCTCAGTGTGGAGCATATACTTTTACTGAGCAGTTTCTTTCCAAAACTACTATAGTTTATATTCTTTCGACTTCAGAGAACGCTTTCAGAACCATAACGCACAAGAAGTTCCCTTACTTTCCTCCTATATGACACGGACTGCATAGGAAACGAGATTTTAGGGGTAGAAGGACACATAGACACAAGCAAACAGGCAGGTAGAAAGGCGATCTCATAAGCCTCCTAAACAAATTGGGGGGAGGGGGGGAACATACAGACAGGAAGGTGATTTCATAAGCCTCCTTTTATTTCTTTGAAACCAAGGAAAGTAAGCCAAAAACAAACTGCGAAATTATTACTATGTGTAAAATGTAATGTTACTTAGATTAACAGAAGTAAAATATCTGGAGTTGGGGCAGATGTTTCTGGAAACGGTAGTATTTAGAAAACATTCAGAAACTTCGATCTAGAGAGATAGATTTAGCAGCTGCGGAAACAAATAATAAATATCAGAAAGGCTTTGCTACGTCGGAAAGAGCAGTTTCTTCGATTTGGCCTGTCTGACTGCTGCCATAAGATTTACAGTCCGATGTAATTGAATATTGAAAACGTTGACGTGTATAGAAGTTAGGTTATGTTGCCACAGCAGACGAAGTGTGTGTGTGTGTGTGTGTGCGTGTGTGTTTTTTAATGTCTGAAGCACAAACGTTTACTCACCTCTCATATTTTTTGCTTACTTTCCTTATTTTGAAAAAGAAAATAAAAGTAGGCTTATGACATCATCATGCTGTCTGTGTGTCTGCGCATCCAACTCATCAACCTCTGAATGCCTGAGCCAATCTTTATGAAATATATATATATATTGTAACGTGTACAGCTAGTCAACGGCGCGATGAACACCTCGCTGAAGTTGACGCAACAATAGGATGAATATTTATAACTCGTTGCTAGGCAACAGCACGCCAATGACTGGCGAGATAGTTATCATGTGACTTGTTTTCTGTGTGGTCTGTGCCATGCAGCAATAGAATGCTATATAGGTGAGGAGGTAATGTCAAAGATCTTCGAGGAACAAGGCGTTCAGTTGGGACGTGGATTGAACTGGCTCAATACACTGTTCCATAAATAAGGTAATGAGTTCTAAATCGGGTCAATTTCTTTAACAGCTACAAATATTACCTTATATCATGAATTTAGTGTTGGTTAATTTGTATCCCATTGCATTAAAAGCTATCTCCAATTAAAGTCAGAGGTATAAACGCAGTCACATTTCGTACGAGGTTTCACATGTAACCCATGAAAACTACACCCAAGCAGGTGCAACTAATCCTTCAATAGTGATTAATTTTCTCGATAGAAACGCGCTTCCATCAAGTACATTACACGATTCAATTAGCTAATGGAACGTTACGCAATAGGTTAAGTCAAGGATCTCTACAGGAAAGATGTACATACTTAATCTGAAGTACAGTGTGTCTATGCCACACACGATCCTTTTAATTTATTAACAGCATACGAAAATAAACCGTATTGTTTCACTCATTACGGTACTCTTTATATAAAATTCCTATCAAGAAGAAGGCAGTTAAAAGTGTTGTTATAGCAACAAACGTTTCAAGTATTAACACACTTATGTACAAGTAAATTCATACTGTAACAATGCTGCCATCTGTAGAACTCCCTGAAAGGATTTTGCGTTTTACGTCGGTTCCGTTGGTTCCGCAGATTTCCACGTCATTAATTGCTTTAAATATCTGGAAAGTTGAATGATGGAGTATGCAGAATACAGTTCCCTACTCACCTGTTCCATTATCCGTGTTGTGCATGACCCTCCCTCCTCCTTCACCCCCACGGCGCCACCTTTCTCAAGCGCCAGAGGAGCTCACACAGGTAGCAGCAACATTGCTCACCGGCCCATCCAAACCTGCACATAGATGTCACACATGTCGCATGAATTTACGTCAATTTATAGCCATTCGGTTGTGGACGGGACAGGGACATGTAAAGTTAAGTGCATGTGTCCTCCAAATTAGATTATGAGTAACCTGTTCACGGAGTGCATTAATTGCTGAATATACGTACATGTTGCTAAGAAGCGACAGATTATTTTCTGGTACTCTGTTATGGCTCTTGCCACCTATCGGTGAGGAAGATTACTTTCCTCCTAATGACGTAATAGTTTACCTAAAGAAACGCAAGTCAAACATAAGGTAATGACAGGGCGATCGGCATTAAAACAGATTAACTGTTATAAAACTATAATTTTGCCTGTGGTTTTCTATGGGTGTGAAACCTCGTCTCTGACTTTAAGAGAGGAACATAGACTGAGGGTATTTGAGAGCAGGTTGCTGAGGAGAATATTTGGACCGAAGAGAGATGAAGTGACAGGAGGTTGGAGAAAACTGCATAATGAGGAGCTTCATAATTTGTACTCTTCTCCTAGTATAATTAGAATGATAAAGTCAAGGAGGATGATGTGGGCAGGGCATGTAGCACGAAAGGGTGAGACGAGGAATGCATATAGGATATTGGTGGGAAAGCCAGAAGGAAAGAGATCACTGGGAAGACCAAGGCGTAGGTGGGTGGACAATATTAAAATGGATCTTAGATATAGGGTGGGATGGTATGGATTGGATTGATCTGGCTCAGGATAGGGACCAGTGGAGGGCTCTTGTGAACACGGTAATGAACCTTCGGGTTCCATAAAATCCTGGGAAATTCTTGAGTAGTTGCAGAATTGGCAGTTTCTCAAGAAGGGCTCAGCTCCATGAATGAGTGAGTGAGATATGACTTCAAATTTATGCTGATGTTAGCTTCTTAGTACGTCGTTCATTTCTTCTTCTTTGCATCAAGGGATAATACAAGAATGCTAGAAGGGCAAAAACAAAAGCACAAGCCGAAATTTTTCTGTCGTCACTGGGGACCATGTGTGATAGGTAGTCCTTCGCCCTAAGTGAACAACACACTGGGGAGTGTTAAGAACAGGGTGCTGAGGAAAATATCGGGAAGAAGGAAGGAGGAAGTAACTGGAGGCTGAAGGAAAATGCTTAACGAGTTTCAAAATATTATTAATGTGAAGATGAAAAGAGGGATAATATGTAGCATGAACGGGAAACAAAGAATACATGCATAAACTTAAGATTAAAATCTGAAACGAAGAAAACAACCTGGAAGACATGAACGTAGACGGAAAGACGTGTTGACTAAATTCAGTTGCTTATATTAAAGGCATGACATTTAGTGACTGTGAGACTCTCGAATTCTAAAGAAATTATTTGCTGATTTAATGACGCTGTCAGCACTGACAGTATACGAAAAGCATCTGACGATAAGATGATTAATAAATGATGAATTGGAAGGGATTTGGAAGTCGCGGTGGCTCAATCAAGGTATTCTCCCGGTATTTGCGTGGAGGAAGTGAGGAAAATCATGACGATTTTCACTGAGGACAGCGGGTGTTGCGGTCGAGATTAGGCAGGGATCCGAAAGGAAAAGTTCCCGAATATGATTCTAGAGCGTTAATTTTCGATCACCCTATTCCGCTGATTCTGAACTAGAAATCTCCTTCGTTGGGTTAGTTAACTGTATCATGTATTTCATGAACATTCCCTTAGGGCTCAACAGCACTCTTCAGCACTTATCCTCTTATTATGGAGCTAAATGTTCAGCCACTAAGAATAAAAGTTAACGAGACCCTGTTTCCTACCAATTCAATTCAATTAACATCATCACAAATTAATAAAAGATTAATTTATACGTAAAGGTAAAATTGTTCCAGCCGGTCACGGTAGCCGAGCGGTCTAAGGCATGTACTATCTTCGCTCGCTTGGAAACCGGGATCGTGGGTTCGAATCCCACTCAGGGCATGGATGTTTAGTTTGTGTGTGCGTTTTTCTGTGTTTGTGTACAGGTAGAGGCCTTGCGACGAGCTGATAACCCGCCCAAGGAGTCCTACCGAATGTGTAAGATCTATAAAAACCGAAGTGAATGGAGAAGTTCATGGAGGTAGGCCTAGGCCCACTGGGGCTGTAGTGCCAAGGGAAAAACATTGTTCCTGTGCTCAATTCAATAAGCGCCAAACCATGAAAACGTAGAGAGGAGTGGAGATATAGCTCCACCATTCTTGACTTCGGCAGTAGATGGAGGTGTGCGGTCAGCTTCACGCTCCTGTCGCTTACCCCCGGGTAGGGTAGTCGGTATAGCGACTGGCTACGAGATGGATGACTGAGGTGTTGGAGTTCGAGTCCCGATACGGTCAAGAATTTTCTCCACATCGTCCAGACCTGCTCTGGGGTCCACCCAACCTCCTATCCAATGGGTATCGAGGGATCCTTCCCTGGGGGTAAAGTGGCCGGGACGTGAAGCTGACCACTCACCTCCAACTAGTGCCGAGCTCAAGAAAATGTGGATCTATACATCCACTCCCCCATACGACTTTATGGCGTAGTGCTTAATTTTTTTGAGCACAGGGACCCAGTGGGCCCGTAGGCGATCTGAACTCTATGGAGTAGACAAACGAAAACTTGCCCCTGCTGGAAATCGAACCCCAGTTCTCCAACACGTATTCCATCGCTGTTACGACTGAGCTATCCCGGCTTCTATACTCTAATTGTACATTCGGTTCTAGAGAGCAGTTACGGTTTCCTGTGATTCTCGGAATATACAAGACCGGGCAATAGGAACTGAGGGTGGTTATGAAGAGCTCTGTAATCTGGGATATAACGCCGTGCAGTCTGTTTACAGTTAAGGGATGTTTCGGATGAAAATAAGCCAAGCTAGAAACCAGTATTAAGCACTGCTTTATGCTGGTTCAGAGCTTTTTCCCCATTTTGATGGCTCTTTGCGAAGTGTCTTGAGGCTCCCTTCACCCCCCCCCCCCATAATAATGATGATGATAGAGTCTATCTGTGCACTTCGCGACATCCCCCTCCGTAGAGAGGACACACGGCCTTCTGAAATGAAGTCAATAGAGCACGGATGTTGAGGCGGAGTGCCAGCTCTCTTTCCGTAGGACACATCCAATCATATCTGTATCACTCGCAAAAAGCAAAACCCAGCGCATCATTCAAATCAAGTACGAGTACATGGCATATATGATTCCCTACACTTGTGGGAGAAGTTAATTACTATCCCCCAAAGTCTGATGGCCGATCACAGTGGCCGAGGGGTCTAAACAATGAACTGTCTTCGCTCGCTCGAATACCGTGATCGTGGGTTCGATTCCCACTCGATGCATGGATGTCTGTGTGCGTTTATTCTGTGTTTGTATTGTTCTGTGTGTAGGTAGCGGCCTTGCGATGGGCTGATCCACCATCCAAGGAATACTACCTACTGCGTATAACATTAAGAAAATGGAAAAGCGGTCAAGGTCCGACAAAACAACCGTAGAGCCACAGATAGATGGATGAACAGACGGAGGGACGGACAGACAGACAGACAGATAGAAAGTTCTGATAGCACAAATTATTGGATGAATATGAGAATGAACACTACAGCGATTAGTTTATTACAGCTGGTACTGCTAGGACAGTTTACACATTATACTTGTGATTCTTCTTCTTCGTCTTTTCTGCAATGAACTTTGTCGCGTGTTGCATACGTTCAGTTTTTCTGCTTGGTCACGTCTTTCCACCTTATTCTTGATCTGTCCAAGTTAATCCTTCAGTTTGGTAACCATTCTCACACTATTGTCACGAACCTGTTACCCTTCAACGAATCTACGTGACAATTCGACTTCGTTATTCTGTTACGAATCTCTTTATTTACATGTTCAGTTTAAGTCTTCTCTTATAATAGAACTTATAACTTTATTGCCTCAAGACTGCTGAGTAATGTCTCGAAATACCTTCACTTGTGGTTTAATTAAATTGCTTGGTTTTTGTGTTTCGGCTCTGTTTCACATCCGTATGTGGGTATGGGCCTCTTGCCTTGGTTCGTTTCCTACGGTCCCAATATCCTGCTACCATTTCATTTTCCTGATTTACGCTTTCGTCAACTACCGACTGAGCTTGGATATAAGACGGGGTTCTTTTTCGAACACTGCTTTTTAAAGATTATAGTTCGGCTTATTTTCGGACCCATATGGACCACCTCTGTGAACTAGTGGTTAGAATTCCTGGCTACAGATCCAGAGGTTCGGGTTCAATTCCCGGCGCTACCAGATTTTCTGAGAAGGAGTGGGACTGGAACGGGGTCCATTCAGCCTCGTGAGGATAATTGAAGAGTTACTTTAAGGAAATAGCGGATCCGGTCTAGAAAACCGAAATTAACGGCCGTGGGGATTCGTTGCGCTGACCACGTGACACTCTCTATCCGCTAAAGTTGGCAGTAACTTCGCCGACAAGCGGCGGTCGCTCGGTCGGTATAGTTCGCTTGCAGACTAAAACCACAGAGTTTGTTTTTTGTTACTAAATACGAAGATGAACTATAATTGTTAATTATAATGGTCTTTTTGAAAGTATCCCAAAAATGTCCTTTTCTCCTACCGCGACTTTTCCTTTTCACCTGCTCTTTTACTAGTACTTCGTACCTTTCCTTGTCATGAACACAGTCAAGAGAAGGGTCACGAAGAAGACGAGAAACGTGCAAGTAATTACCATGTCTGCGTGCCCAGTTTACAGTTGAGAACTCAAAGTGTCATTATTCAAATACGCGGTATTATGTACCTAGCGGATCGATTTAAATAGCAAATTACATCAAGTGGCAATTAATCTCTGACATTAACTCAGGAGGTTCACGGAAAGTTTTCTGTCATCTGCATTAAAGACGTTACTATTTACCTTTGCCTTATTCAGTCTGAAGAAGCCTTTAGTTATCACGTAAGGCTCAGGCGACAGTGCCATCTGCTGCACTGTTTAGTTTCAGGCTACAGATTCCAACCCGCCATGTCCTTACACTTATAAAATTAGAAATGAATCAGAGCTT